CACACACACACACACACACACACACACACACACACACACACACACACACACACACACACACACACACACACACACACACACACACACTAAACACCGTTACTTTGGTCAGGCCATGTCATCGCCTGTGCATAGACATGCAATGTTGCCTGCAGAACCCCAGTAAACTTGCTTAATGCCGCACCTGTGATGACCCACCTGATGTTTGGCTAGCATGTGATCAACACTCTTTCTGTCGTGAGGATTATGAGGGTATAGGCCACAAAATCATCTTCTCATACATATGATGACAGTCAACACAGTACTCATGCACGACACCCTCACATGGCATGTCCTATCTTTCGGCAGGGGCTGGAACGGCAATGCTTATACAATTGTGGTCACCCAATGCCTGTGTTTCTAGCATGTGGGAGCCACATTGCCTGTGACATCTATCTGCGCTGCGCCATTCAATGCAGGAAGTGCAGCTGCAAATGCAACTGCAACTGCAACTGCAACTGCAACTGCAACTGCTGCTTCTACTGCCACTGCTACTGCACTTGCAACTGCAAGTGCAAGTGCAGGTGCAAGTGCAAGTGCAAGTGCAAGTGCAAGTGCAACTGCAAGAATTGGATGTGGTGCTTCCACAGTGCACACCTGAACTGTCCTGTCCAGCTTGCGGAGGTGTTAGGCAATGCCTGCTCAGCTCATTCCCCCCCCCTGCAACCCAGCCCCTGACTCGCCTCTTGTGCCAGTATCTAGCAGTCCGCTCTGCCGGTAAGTATCGAGGTCCCAATGAGGCTCCTCTTTCCCCTGCTCTTCTTCTCCCTGCATGCTCCCCGCATTTTTCGCGCTCCTGCTCTCCCTCCCCTCCCCTCCCCTCTTCCATTTCTCCGTGCAGGCGTGCTGAAAAGCAGACGGGTGTGTACACATGCCACACTCAAGTACACATACGTGATGGACCTTGCACCTCTCAGAACGCAACAATGAAGCGGACGTTTCATCAAAACATTGAAATCATTTTAAAGTATCGTATAACTTGATAGAAGATGATAAGGTAAGGCTGTTTCAATTTTGGATTTACTCCTCTGGGTGTAAAGGGGGTAGTTCCGGTGACAGTCTAAAACACACACACTACAATTGCGTTGGCGCGCACTTGTGTTCCTAGCATGTAGGAGTAGCCTGAGACATCTGTCTACAGCACGCCATCCGATGCAGCAACTGCGACTGCGAGAATTGGATGCGGTGCTTCCACAGTCCACACTCGAAGTTCAACCGGTTCTGTCCGGTTGTGGCCACTTACCGTAGGCAACAGCTGGTCCTCAACTCCAAATCTTCCGCAACCCAAACACTGACTGGCCCCTTGTGCCATTCTAGAGTAGAATTCTCCAGTGGTGAATATATAGAACCCAGTGAAGTTCGTCATGTCTCGATTCTGTCCTTTATGCACTCCACTTTCTCCCCTACCCCTTCTCCCTCCCCTGCCCCTCACTCCCTATAGATCTCCGCTTACTACCCCTTCCCTTCCTCCCTCCCCTTGTGTGCTACTAGTAAATGTATACGAATGAGCATCATCAATAGAACAGACAAAATATAAGCTGAAGATATGAACAAAAATGAACAGGAGTATACCTCCACCTTTACTCTGCCTCCTTTCATGACGTGCAAGTGTGCCATTAAGGCACACGGGGGTGTGGGCAGCTGGTGCTCAACCACAATCAACGTGGCCAGCCTTGTATGTGAGAGGCGTAGTAAAAGGGGAACTGCAAGAACGAATGAAAGGGGTACCCCAAAGAAAGCCAAAGTAAACATAGTTGACGAAGGGATTTCAATTTTCAATGGATTTGTTGTGCTCCATGTTACTTGCTGCTATAGATGTATAACTGTTTCATTGTTGGAATGTCTGAACTCAAGTGTGCGTCGTTGTCTGCAATATGCATGGATCCAGAGACCATTATACCACGAACCAGTCATCCAGATGTCATGGTTACCAATGTACTCGTTACCTTAGACAAAGGTAGAAGAGAGATGTCCCATTCCCATAGACAAAGGTAGAGAAGAGTTCCCTGTCCCCCCATAGACAAAGGTAGAGAAGAGATGCGTTGCCGCTGCTTATATTATCAAAAATGTCTGATTTCATCAACTTCCAGTCTCTCAAGTTCATCACAACAGCTCATAAATCAACTCTGTTCATCATCCCATCAATATGGAGACCAGCGCAGCAACATCATCATGTCGAAGTACAGCATTACTCAGGTAAGTGACATCTTCTCCTCTCTCTCTCTCCTCCTTACTTCTTCCTCTCTCTCACGGGCACATTATCTCTCTTGTCTCATGAAGATCTCGTTCAGAATACACTCACAGATAGAACACCAACTAGTAGGCTAACAACCTATCTCAACAGGGCAGCTATGGCTGCATTCAGCCAGCCAGCGCCCTCACTCTCTTCCTGCGCCACTTCTTGCTTCCAGCGCTGACTTCACCTCCCACTCTAGCGCACAAATGGCCAGCACTTCCACGCCAGTGGGGAATGAGCTTCCAGGAGGCTCACTGCCTCTTTTATAATCTTGGCGAGCAGCTTCAGCCTCTGAATTGGTACTTCGGCCTGGCCCAGATCTGC